ATTCTTTCCCCTCTTAACTTAAACTGATGCCCTCTAGTCCTCGATTCGCCGACCCTGTGAAAAAGGCTGAGTGCATTCACCGTATCCATGCCTCACATGATCTTATACACTTCTATAAGATACCCCCTCAATCTTCTACACTCTAAAGAAAAAAGTCCTAGCTTGTCCAACCTCCCCTATAACTCAGTCCCTTGAGTCCTAACAACATCCTCATAAATTTCATATGCACTCTTTCCAACTTAATAACATCCTTCCTATAGCAAGTTGACCAAAACTGAACACAATACTCCAAGTGCAGCCTCACCAATGTCCTGTACAACTGCAACATAACTTCCCAACTTCTATAATCAATACCCTGACTGATGAAGGTCTATAAACCAAAAGCCTTCTTCACTGCCTTGTCTACCTGTGACTCCACTTTCAGAGAATGGTGCATCTGAACTCTGAGGTCTGTCTGTTCCAACTACACTCCTTAAGGCCCTATCATTCACCATGAAACACCTACCTTGATTTGACGTTCCAAAATGCAACACCTCACACTTATCTGTATTAAACTCCATTTGCCATTTCTTGGCCACTTCTCTAGCTGATCTGCATCCTGATGTAATTTCTGATAACCTCCCTCACTGTCCACAAAACCCCTATTTTAGTGTCATCTGCAAACTTACTGCTCATACCTTGCACATTCGCATCTAAATCATTGATATAGATAACAAACAGCAGTGGGCCCAGCACCAACCACTGAGGCACACCACTAGTTACAGACTTCCAGTCCAACAAGCATCCTTCCACTGTTATTCTCTACTGCCAACCATCAGGCCAATTGTGTATCCAATTTGCCAGCTCTCCCTGATTCCATGCGACCTAACCTTCCAGAGCAGCCTACCATGTGGAACCTTATCAAAGGCCTTACCGAAATCCATACAGACTATGTGGGAAAGATCTGGCAAATTGAGCACAATATAGGATAATATGGAACTGTCCATTTTGGACTACAAGGTGCAGGAGGATTGGGTGTCTTCATGCATGAATTGCTTAAGGCTTGTAGGTACAACAACTAATTAGGAAAACTAATTGAATGTTATAGTTTATTTCAAGGAAAATTGAATACACAAGTAGGGAGGTTATTTTTCAGCTATACAAAGCATTGTTCAGATCACATATAGGTATTGTATATGGATTGGGCTCGTTATTTAAGAAAGGATGTAAATGTGTTGGAACCAGCTCGGAGAAGGTTTACTAGATTATTACCTGAATAGTTTATCTTATGTGCAAAGCTGGGACAAGCTAGCATTGTATCTGTTGAAATTCAGAAAAGTAAAAGATGACTTTTTTTTCAATTTGCTCATTGGATGTGGCCACTGCTGGCTAGGCATTCCCTAATTTCCCTGGAGAAGGACATAAAAAAAAACTTAAGGAATCTTCACAGGGTGCACCTGGAAAGAGAGATGCTAGAACAAGGAGTCACAGTTTAAAATTAAATCTTTACCCATTTAAGACAGAGATTAACAGAATTTTTCTCTTGCAGAGAGCTAAGTCTTTGGAACTCTGTTCCTTGAAGACAGTGGAAGCAGAAGTTTTGAATCTTTTAAGGCAGGTGTGGATAGATTTTGATAAACAGGGAAGTGAAAAATTATTGTGTGTAGGCAGAATGTGGAGTTGTCAGATCAGCCATGATCTTATTGAATGGCGGAGCAGACGTGACGGCTGAATGGCCTTCTCCTGCTCCTAATTCATATTTGCATACAGCTGAAGGTAAATTTTTTTGTGCAAGGAGCAGAAACTGATATTGTTTATGAATTTTCCCAGGGAAACAGCAAAGAATGGCATGACACAGAAAGGAGCAGGTTGTAAGGTGTTTAACACATCTTGTCATGGCGGAAGAGGTGCAGTGGAGGAAAGATGTCTTATATCCATGGGTGCATGGAAATACTCCAGACACATTGTTACAAGGTATCTGGAACCATTGAGGTCAATCACAGCAATTAATACTCAAAGACTGCAATTGTCAATATTAAGGTTTGAGAATGCTTTTCTGAATTTCATCTCCTATCAATTACATCACTAACCTCAACCATTCCTCTATTCAATACACCTCATCATTCAGCTACTAACAATGTACATCAATCAGGACTTCTATTGAACAATCATATGCTCTACTGCACCCTTATAGTGGCATTTCTGCAAACATCATGTTTACAATTCACAGTTTCTGCTTCTTGCCAGCTACTAATGACATAGACTAAAAGGTTGCGAGTAATGTACCAAGTTTGCTGATGATACAAACCTTGGAAGGAATTTAATTGTGAGAAGGACATAAACACATTTCAAAGAGAACCATATTGGTAAAAAGAATGAGCTAAAACATGCCAGCTGGAATATAATATAGGGAAGTGTGATTTTAATTGTTTAATTAAAATAGAATATTCTTTTAAAAGAATGAAATTTCTATATATTGACATTCAGAAGAGCTTTATGATCTGTGCCTGCTCCCATTCTTAATGTTCTTATGAAAGCAAAATACTGGATATTAGATTTCTAAAAATTGCCAGAAATACACAACAGGTCTGACAGCTCATAATATACAAAGAGAAAAATAACAGATGTTTTGCTCAGAAGTCATCAAATATTATTGAACTGCTTTCAAATGTTCAGCACTATATTCTGACTGCTGCAACTTTTGGACTTCCTTGTAGATGTGGCGATGTTAGGTAGTTACTAATGGACATCTGTGAATATTGTAATTTTGGCACAAGTTACCAATTCTTAGTGGCATAGTAGCTCAGTGGTTAGCATTGCTGTTTCGCAGGTCCAGGGACCTGGGTTTGATTCTACCCTCAGGCTACTGTCTACGTGGAGTTTGCACATTCTCCCCATGTCTGTGTGGGTTTCCTCCCACAATCCAAAGATATGCAAAATAGGTGGATTGGCCATGTTAAATTGCCCACAATGTCTAGAGACGTGAAGGCTGGGTGGATTAGCCATGGGAAATGCGCGTTTACAGGGATAGGGTAGGTGTGTTTGTCTGGGTGGATGCTCTTCAGAATGTTGGTGCGGACTTGATGGGCCGAATGGCCTGCTTCCACACTGTAGGAATTCTTTGAGGACTTTGCAGGGCTGGTCTGGTTGTGGCTGCTGCATAGGAGTCTCTCAACTTTTGCCCAAGTAGTAACAATTGACATTGGAGGCTGCATTGATAAATCCTGCTCTGATTTCACCTGAAAGCTAATTTTGTGAAGTCATTGAACACTGGTCAGGGTGTAAATGTTTGGCATATTTTCCTCTCTTGGTTATGTTAAAATTAACTTTAGCAATTCAGTTATGGGCAGTCTGTTGGATTTTATTCTTTTTTGACATCTTTGTGAATGTTAAATGCAACTGAATGACTTGTAACGCCATTATAGAAAACAATGAAATGTTACCCACTATTATGCATTCTGTTGTCATTCATTCCTGGATGTTTGTAATAATCACTGCTTAGGCTTAAAAAGCACTTTGTTTCATTCCAATCTGGTATAATGCTTAGCTATAACCAGCTGCTTAAACCATTAATGTGTTATGCAAAAAACTCTGATCCTCCAGTGCAGCCCTTTATGTTGCCCATAGGAATACTTGCACATGCAGTTGGCTCTGGCTAATCAGTTCTTAGCTCTTCACAGAAAATACAACAATGTATAACACATAGATTGCTGTCAATCTGGAGACAAGTACAGCCCAGGTCACATAAATACAGCAAATCATCTTTCCCAAAGGGCATTAGGGATCCAGATAAGCTCTAACAAAAATCTTGCAGCTTCATGTTAGAAGATGCTATTAATATTAGTTTTTTTTCAGGTTTATTTCATTAACTGAATTTAAATTCCCAGTTGCACAGTCACTAATCTGTTCTTCCCATCCATATGTTTACTGTTTTCTTTCAATCTATCTATTTCAATTTGTAACAGTAAGCTGACCTGAACAAAGCTTTTGAAAGACGAACAAGAATTGCTCTCGAGATAGTAGGAACTGCAGATGCTGGAGAATCTGAGATAACAAGGTGTAGAGTTGGATGAACACAGCAGGCCAAGCAGCATCAGAGGAGCAGGAAAGCTGACATTTCAGGCCTAGACCTTCTTCACTTTCTGAAGTGCCAACTCCAAAACCAATATTCTTTAAATGTTATTAGAAAGTCTTCTTCATATATTTTTTACAGAGCAGAAGGCATGCTACATAAAACCTGAAGTCTGTTGTTCTGATTACTCAATAAAAGGTAAGAGAGAATCCTCAATAAAGGTAACATGATATATTGAGCCAGATTAATTTAGGTTGCTATTAGTTTTTCTTCACAAGCCTCTGACTGGTGAGGGGACTTGTCAAAAGCAATTACCTTGTAAAGCTACTGGAATTCTTTGTTGTTGACTGGTATAGACTTTACAATAAAACACATTTGAAACAATCATTGCCTGAGAATGTAGTTCCTCACAAAACCAAACATACTTTGAAGTCATTTGAAAATGAATTTTATTGACTTTTTCTCACTGCGATAAAGGGTTCTGGTAAAATACTGATACTGACTCACCAACTTCAATTTTCAAAGGACATGATACAAATTACAACTTTTGTATGGAACATTGTGAACCCTTCATTTTTTCAAAAATATCAAATCTCTAGAAATAAAAAAAAGGTATTAAGTTAACCTTTCCATTATCACTTATTGTCAAGGGTAGACGTCATGGACAATAGTTTTATTAATCCCAGGTTCTGCATTTGCACTGATTTGACCAGTCAAGATGATGTAATTATTTTAGTTCATTCATATGTTAAATACCACACATCACATTATCACCTAATGTTAGAACCCTGACTGGTGTTTCATTATGTTAATTTTTATTCTTTTGTCAGCTTTGAAATACAATCTGGAAATGACTGGTGCACTTTGGGACAGCTTTTGTTGAAAGGAAAAGAACAGTACTAACAAGTTTTGATTATTTGCGAGACCTGGAGGTTAATTGCAGGCTGAGCCTTGATTGAAAGGGTTTCAAGAGACACAGCAACCCTGGGAAGAGCATTGTGTTAAAACAGATAGCAGAAGTTGGCTATTAATGAGGTAAGTACCAGAGAATTGGTTGTGGCAAATCTGGAAGAGACCCTGTGTTCAAGCGCATGGCTGTTGTTGAATTATAATTGAGGCCGCTGGAAGAGTAAATTGGTCTACCAAAAGGGATTAAAGTTGTTTTTTTATTTAACTATGTTTTCTAAGAGATGGTTCTGGGCTGCTGCTGAGACAGCATGAAGATTTAAAAGCTCTCTACCCAATCTGCTACATCAGCTTCCGAAAGCCCAATGAGTAGAATACGGAGTTAGAAGTTTTGTTGCCTTTGCCTGGCTGAACTGAGAAGGTGATCCTGAACAAGGTTTCAGAAGAAGAGCAGCCAAGGAGTCCACATTTATACCTGTGAAGCAATGCATCGTGAAAGCTATTTAGGTAATCTGGCCAGTATCCCTTAACTGTGGTTGTTTGTGCATTTTTTGTGTGAGTGGGACTCAAAACAAATGTTTTTATTTAAAGCACTGACATTAATCAGCTTACTGTGTTGTTTAATTTTATTAAATCATGAGATACATAGGCCATAAGACATAGGAGCAGAAATTAGGCCATTCAGCCCATCGAGTCTGCTCCGCCATTCAATTATGGCTGATAAGTATCTCAACCCCATTCTCTTGTTTTCTCCCTGTAACCCTTGATCCCCTTGACAATAAAGAACCTATCTATCTCCATCTTAAATATACTCAATGACCTGGTCTCCACAGCCTTCTGAGGCAGTGAATTCCATAAATTCACCGCTCTCTGGCTGAAGAAGTTTTTCCTTATCTCCATTCTAAATCGCCTTTCCTTTACTCTACGGCTGTGCCCTCGGGTCCTTGTCTCTCCTACCAATGGAAGCATCTTCCCAACATCTACTCTGTCCAGGCCGTTCAGTATTCCCTAAATTTCAATTTAGATGGGGGCATGGATGAGTTGTACTATCGGATCTGTTTCTGTGCTTCATGACTCTATGACTCTCTGCTAAAGTTATTGTGTATTTAATAAATATTTAAGACTTTTGTTTAAGATACAAAATCAGTTTCTGGAAAGTAATTGTTCACAAAGTCTGGGATTGGTTGTTCAAAAGTCCTGTTAGGAACCATTGGAGTGACAATTTGGGGTCTTTGATGGTTTAGTTTTACCATTTTCTGCATACAGAGGTGGAGGGGCCAATTTAATTTGGCTGTCTTTCTTTGTGTTATAACATTAATATTCTTAGTACTCTTCACTGTTATAACAAAATGATCTTAATTGACAAAAAGTGAGAAAGGAGAAATAAATTTCATTGATATAACAAGAACCAGAAATTTTAAAGTGCTTTGTAGCCAGTGAAGTTCTCTTGAAAGGTAATAACTGTAAGAAAGAAAACATAAATATTATTATTCGATACAAGATAGTAATAGGGTTAACTCACATTGGACAATGGCAAAATGTATTTTACAGATTTCATAGGTTATGTAAATATTTTTACATGGTCGGTATTTCAAAGTAAGTATATTTTAGTCTTGCTGAGAAAAATACATATTAAGTTGCCAAAGTAAAAACAAAACAATATTTATAATGCATGACAGTGGAGTGCTGCTTAGTTAAAAAGTAGGCATTGATTGTTAGAAGTATTGCAATTGATTGGTTAATAAACTTTACCCTTTATATATTTCTGACATGTAGCTGAAACATTTGATATATTTAATCTGCACTTGTAAATAAGAAATTGCTCATGTCTCAATGAACACCATCCTGCGTATTAGAGGCATAGAGCCATAGATATCCAGGGGACAGAAGAAGGCCCTTCAGCCAATCAAGGCTGTGTAAGTCAGAAATAAATACTTAACTATTCTAATCCCTTTTTCCAGCACTTGGCCCATAGTCTTGTATGACATTGCATCGGAAGTGCTCATCCAAATACTTCTTAAATGTTGAGAATTTTTACCTCTACTATCCTTTCTGGCAGTGAGTTCCAGTTACTACATTCCCTGGATGCTTCCTGCTCCTTATCCTAAATCTATGCCCACTGATCATTGATCCCTCCAACAAGGGGAAATATTCCTTACTGTCTACCTTACTTATTCCCCTTGCAATTTCATAAACACAATCATGTCCCACTCCTGTCTCCTCTGCTCCAAGGAAAACAACCTCGGTCTATGCAATCTCTCTTCATAACTAAACCACTGCAGCCCAGGCAACATCCTGGTAAATCTTCTCTGCATTCTTTCGTATGTAATCACATCCCTTCTAGAATAGAATATCCTTTATTGTCATGTGTATGCCATTGTAAAAGTACAGTGAAAAGCTTTTATGTCTGCCTCTTATAGCACCATCTTAGGTACAAGTACCTAAGTACAAATCTTGGATACAACAGAGGAATACAAAGTAGTTTTAAAAAATAAGTTAAAAATAAGACATTGTTATAAGATTGACATTACAGTAAGATTAAGAAGAAAACAGAAAAATATTGTGGTTGGTTGGCTCGCCGAGCTGGTTTGTTGTTTTTCCGCAGACGTTTCATTACCCTGCTGGGTAACATCATCAGTGCAGCCTCCGATGAAGCGCCGTTGTGTTTTCCCGCCTGTTATTTAAACTCTGGTGTCCGTTGAGCAGGATTACCTCACTTCCGGTTTTCCTTCGCAGTGGAGTGTATATGGGGTCAAGCGCTATGTGTTTGTTGATGGCTTTCTTCGTGGAGTACCAGTCTTCGAGGAATTCCTGTTCTTATCTCTGCTTTGCTTGTCCCAGAATCTTGGTGTTGTCCCAGTCGAATTGGTGGTTCTCCTTATCCATGTGGATAGAGATGAGTGGGTACTGGTCGTGTCTTTTTGTAGCCAATTGATGTTTGTGTACCCTTGGAAATTAACTTGATATGCTTGATATTGTGTCTTTATTTTAAGAAAATGTCTTGAGATTGGCTCCATACTGATTAAAAACATTTCAAGTGGAGAAAGATATGGTCTTGGGCCACAAAGAACTTAAATGTTTGTTCTGACTCGCTGAGAAGTTTGAAGAGAGAGGGACTATCTGACCAAGTCATAACAATATGGACAAGTATGAGTTCCCTTTGAGAATCTTCAGATGCTGGCATAAACAACTGGTGGCTGGTGATGTAAGCCCAAGGATGGGTGAATGTGTCGTCTGACATCCTATAGATCAATGATGTATTCAAGTTTTATTCATTCGTCAGTTTACCAGTTATGCTTAAGGGGATAAATTTTGTGAGGTACACAGCACAGAACTGAATAATCGGGAGCATGTAAGGGAGAAGCAGGTGTGGAGTTTATTCTTCTTGTTGGGTAAAACTCTTTGCTGGAAGCAAAATCTTTGTTTGTTAGATGCCTGGAATTTTATCACAGTTATTTTGGTATAGAAGTTTAAAAGAGTAAATAAGTGAAATAATGTACATAATATTAGTCTATGAACATTTAATATGGTTGTTCAAACATTTGCTGTGAAATTTTAACTGAAGTATTAATCTGTTTATATTAAATAGGTTTACACTTTTATTAAACTGCAAAACAAAGGAATTTCACACAAGTTTATTAGACTTCTACTTTATTTATTCAGTTTGATCAGCAAGTAAACTGACATAAGTGTTTTCTGATTTGTGTGTAAAAGTTATGGCCTACATCCCTTATAAATTTGCTTGATTGCAGTAGAACTGTTTTTGTTCCCATTTTGTGTGTTAATTATTTCATAGTGTTTTATAATAAATTTCTCAATACTCTATATTGGTGTCCTATCACACTCTTTCCTAACATTTTTATATTTCATGCCCTCAATGATTATTCTCATTTTTCAAAGGAATACAATGACAGAAAAACTGTCATCTTCCAAAACTTAACTTAAAATGTGAAGTCAACAGTGTCTTTCTCTCTATTCCATGATGAAAATTATTTACGTTTTATAAAAGAATAAAGAATATTACTTATATGATTATTTATAAAGCACCAACTTCCACTTTAATCCCACATGTATATGTTGAGTTTTATTTTTCTCTGTCAGAATATTAAAGCTGAGTGATAGTTAGTGTGTCTTACTTCCTAGCTTGCTGCCTGTGGGGACTGTTCAATTTGATTGGACATCCAGTTTTCTTAATGACCGTGCTGGACACCAGAGATTCCATATAGATGATACTAGAATAAAAGTTATCATGCAAATATGGAAACCCATGCTACTAAGCTCACTAGATCTTTACTGGCAGCTTTCTTATTGAATACAGCACTCTTTGTTGCTAACTATAAAATCAGGACCAATCTCTACATAAGCAGTCATGACCTGATCAAAAACATGGCAATATCAGGTCCAATATTACGTGAGAAATAAAATCACTAAATTATCACTTGCTGGCCAAAATTTTTGATTTTCAGATGGACTTTGATTTACATACTGAGAGGTCTTGCTGAAAACAAGCATGGATCCTGTGAATAAATGCCAAACAGAATTAGATGACATGGTCAAACCTCCAACTCATTTTGTCCTCCACCTAAGTTGCCCAATACTGTGGGCAAAACTGTGGAATATCTAATATCTTCACCTTTCTTTCCTCATCCAGTCTTCAGGCTTTTCAATTATAAGTTACGAATTAACATTATAAAGACTTATTTATATACTACCTTGCATGAGGAGATGTCCCAAAGTGATTGCAGTTAATAATGTAATCTTGTGTGAAGTCACTGTTATAACATAAGAAACCATCTTACATTTGTCTCACGTTCTTTGGTGGTATTCTGCACTACTGTCCTTGAACCTATACATTGATTTTTCATCATTATCATCACATGAAGCATTTTGTCATTAGTCGCTGTAATTATTAGAAATTCAATTATTCTGTGCATGCAGTCGAGTGAAACCTGACTCCACATCTTTCATGCGATAAAATCCAGAAATCAAATCAGTAAACATAAAACAATTTTGAAAGAGTTCTTAATATTTTGAGATAATGCAAATGTAAGTCACTAAGTTCCACAATAGACATTTCTTGCGCAAACATGCATGCTGTAAGATACTTTTCTATTAGACATTGTGTGTTAATGGTAGATTGGTAAAGGAATAAACTAAGGTCATATTCTATCCTGAGTGCAATAACTTGGTTAGCAAAAAAAACTGTTGTACAACCTTAAATAAACGCTGATGCATTTGTCATAACAATTTGGTGACAAACTATAATATATAATTAAAGTTCTAACTCCTACACCCATTCTTTTTTGTACTCTTTAACTTCCTTTGGTCACAATTTCAGTCATACTGCTGTGCTAGCATTTTCAATTATTAACTCATGTTCACATTTATAATGGAAATCAACCAACTAAACATGTAAGGATTTTGTGATATAAAGCTTTTAGGATTTTCCCTTCCAGCTCTATTGACAGTATTTTTCATAAAGATTCAGGTCAAATTCTTCATAACTTTGTTTGAACTTGTGTATTTTTTTTTTGTTTTAAACATTTATAAGTTAATATTTAACTTTGTCCATTTTTCCCAACTTTTCTTTCACCAACGTTTGTTAATTTCAGAATCATGATTGCAAAGTACATAAGAACATATGAAGTAAAAGTACTTGGCCTTTAACCTCCTCAAATCTGCACTATCATTCAATAAGATCATGGCCGATCTTTAAATAAGTCTCACTTTCCCAACTCATTCCCACATTCTTTGATTCTCAAAATATCCAAAGAACTGTTGATCTTAGCCTTGGGTAAACTCAACAATTGAACATCCATAGCCATCTGGGATAAAGAATTTCAAAATTGCCATTCATCTGAACAGAGTAAATTTCTCCTCAACTCAGTCCTAAATGGTGAACACTTTTGACCTTTATCCGGAGACTGTGATTTCCAGTTCTTAAATCACCCAATAGGAGAAACAACCTCTCAATATCTTCTTCAATAAGTGTTTTAAGAATTTTGTATGTTTTAATGAGATCATATCTTATTCTTTTAAACACATACATAACATTAAAAGACAAAGTACTGGAAAAAACTCAGCAGGTCTGCTAGCATCTGTGGAAACAAAAGTGTAAACACTTCAAGTACAATGTGATTTTACCATACATTCCACTGAATTATTTATCATAAATCAACCATTTCACCTTAGAATCAATTGACAGAATTTTCTCTGCATTGCCTTAAGAGAAGAACGTGTGTTTTTTTAATTTCTTCACAGGATGACGCCACTGCTGGCTGGATCAGATTGGCCATCTTTTATTGTTCTTGAGTAGGTACTGGTGACATGATAATAAATCAAATCCCCAGTCACCCGTGATCATACTGAACTTCTAATTACGACATTTGTTTTATAAATAAAGGCATACAACTAAAAATAATAGATTCTGAGCAATGTAATTCAGGGACTTTCTGGAAGGCCTGTCCTCAGCCTCAAAAGAGACTGTAAAATATTGCAACCGACAGGTGTCATGGTAGCTTCAAATAGAAGAGCTTCAAAGGGCAAATGCAATGCAACTAAACTGCAATCTCATGTGATTTATTTCAGACAGTGAATATCATGGGAGAACAGTGAGCAGTCTGGACAAGAGACATGTTTGTATTTTCCTCTTTCAAGCGTACACAAGAACATGGACAAAAAGACAGATTCAACCCTGCTCTACTTGTGCTGGTGGGTGAAAATATATGCCACCAGGGTTAGAGGTGAGAAACCCCAAGCCATCCCTGTGGTCAGATGAAATGAAAGGCAGTCTTCCTGTCTTTGCTGAAAGCTAGAAGGTAATCAAAAGCTCAGTTAAAAGGAATCAGGATCATGTGTATGAAATACAGAAAACTAGTACATAACTTTAGGAGGTAATGAGGAAGGCTAATTAAATATTTGCCCTTATTTAAAGGGTGTTGGAATATAAGAGGAGGGAAGTCCTGTTGTAACTGTACAAGGTGCTGGTGAGACCACACCTGAAGTACAGTGAGCAGTTTTGGTCCCCTTAATGAAGGAAAGACATAATTTCATTGGAGGCAGTCAGAGAAGATTCACTAGGGTGATCCTATGGAGGATCGTCTTATAACACTTCCTCCCATGGGAGAGTCTAAGACTAGAAAGTAATCATTTCAGAATAAAGCAGTGTCAATTTAAGGTTGAGATGAGGAGGAACTTCTTTTTTCAGAAAATTATGAATATTTGAACTTCCTTGCTATTAGAGAGTTGTGGGGACAGAGTCTTTGTGTATATTTGAGGCTGAGATAGATGCTTGATCAGCAGGGGAATCAAGAGTTATGGAGGAAGGGCTGGAAAGTGAATGTGAGGAATTTCAGATCAGCTATGATCCTCTTGAATGGCCGAGCAGACTTAAAAGACTGAATGCCTACTCTTATTCCAATTTCTTATGGCCTTATGATCCTATATTTATAAAGCCCTTCAGCTCACCTGCAAAACTAAGCATCTCAAAATAAATTGCTCAACCTACCAACCTCAGAGATATCAATGCAACAGTGATAACGTCCCATCTTCTACTCTTCACATAATTCAGAGTCTGATCTGTACTTTTTTTTAACATTAATCTCTTTTAGACTCACCTCTCAAATCTAATCTATGTGTATGTGCATTGGTTATTATTTCTTTTTGCATTTAGTAATTAATAAACTCAGTCATGCTAACTCAAATAAACCTGATTAAATTGGTTCCCTTTAAAACATCAATTTAGATGGTTTGGAAGAAAGGTATCCACAAGGGAAGTGAAAAGATAATTTTACTCTATGTTTTGCTTCATCTTTCATGCTGAATACCTTAACTGGTTCATTGTCGCTTTGAAGTTTTTTTGTATCCTCATCACAGCTCAATTTCTTTCCCAGTTTTATATTATCAGCAACGTTGGATACATTACATTGGGTCACACTTTCTAAGTTACTGATAAAGACTGTAAATAGTTGAGTCCCAGCACTGACTCCTGTGGTCCTCCATTTAGTACAACCCAATACCCTGTAAATGACCTGTTTATTCTTACTCTCTCTTTTCAGTCCATTAACCAATCCTCAATTTATGCAAATATATTATCTAAATACCATACATTCTAATCTTGGGTAACACATTTTAGTGGGTGCCTTGTTAAATGCCTTCAGAAAATCTAAGAACATCGCATTGTCCTTATCTACTGTATCACTTAGCTCTGCAAAAACCTTTAATAGATTTGTTAACTGTGATATCCTTTTATCAAATTGACTTTGCTTTATCACATTCTCATTTTCCAAGTGCACTGATACAATGCCCCTTGTAATAGAACTAAAATTTTCACTATGGTTATGAATATGCCAGATGAACTGGCCTGTAATCCTTTGTTGTCTCACTCCATATTTTGATCAATAAGGTTGTAGTTGCTCTCATCTAATCCATGGGAACAAGTCTAGAATCAAACCAATGCATTTACTATCTCTGCAGTAAAATCTTTTAAAACCCAAGGTGAAGGCCATCAGTTTCAAGGGCCCTGATTTTTGATCCCAGGTCAGGAACACAAGTGCAGGATAAGTCCCAAGTCTGTGAAATTGACCTTTAAAAATAACTACCAGCACTTCCAATGATCAATGCAAGTTGCCTTGGCAGTCCAATAATGCAATGAAAGTTTAAAAATGGAGATCAAGGCTCCGAACATTGTGGGCAATAACATGGTAGAATCAGATGAGATGTTCGGTCACGAGATCAAGGTCATCTCATCGCATTTTGTTCACTCTTCTCAAGTGGTGTGGCAACAATTCCTGCTAATCAGCAATGAATTCCCAATGGAGGCTCATTATTGCTTGTAAAACAATTGCTGACAGCCCAACTAGGAGGGTAGACCGGCAATCAGCAATGTACAGCTGAATAGGTTACAGATACCACACTGAGAAAAAGAACCCATTAAAATGGCTTTTACCAGGACATCCAACAGTGCTATGTCCCTTGTTCTTTCAGCAAGCATTCACCTGGTGGCTACTGGCATGTCCTTGGCCTATATGCCTAGCTGTGCCCTACCATGTATTGGCAATTAGCACAGTCAGACAACAGTGTTTTGCAGTAGACCTCAGTCAAGAGTATGTACATCCTGCCTTATGTCAGTATGGCATGTCAGGTTAGTGCTTGCACCATGTGGATCAGGTTTGTGCCAAACGTGTAGCATCTGCAGTAAGCAATCAGACATGTCTGACTCCCCCTTCATCCCAAACTCTCCATATGACCAATCCATGGTACATTAGGCCTCTCTCCAACTGCAGGAGTCCTCTTGCATGTTTTGTCACCATATGTCTATTTACTCATTTCCACATCTCTATTTTGCCCAAATGCATATACCCATCCACCCAATCCTTGTAGCCCTTATGTACACTCTGCCATATATCACCTCCGTGGTCCTTTATAGCCTCTTTGCTGACTTAGGCTAACTCAGACCCTCCTTAACCACCATCCTTTGTTCTTTTCACTCCATGCTAACTCATCTGCTATCCTGCATTGAAAAATGTAGGAGGCATATAACAGGTTCATGGCGATAATATCACTGCAGCAAAAACAACTCTCATTGATAACAAAAATAGTGTCTGTATGCTGAAGGTTCTTCAACTGATCCCCAATAAAAATAAACATTTTGTTAAGTGCTTGTGCCTTAAATGCTCAATATTTATGTCAAAAATTATTTCCATTTAATAAGCAGTTGGGGCTATCTGTCAAAATGTTCATTTGATAGGCGCCCCATCATGAAAGTGTTATGTCTTGCTGGGGTAGTGAGCTAGAAACCACGCACTACTTTTCTGGATGTCATCCCAAAAGTTAAAGCTTCTATAAAACTTGGCAAAATTCATTATATTACCTATGTTTTAGACTCAGATTGACAGAAAACATGAATCAGGTTTCTGCACTTAACAAGAAATGCCATTTAATACAAATGAATAGTTTCTAGTTACAAATACACAGTTGTGAATCATTACTTTATACATGTAAACAGACACAAACAAATTATGGGTGTCACAGGCAGAAGGAAAGACTGGGAAAGCAGTTTAAAGACCCCTGTCCACAGGCTTTGTTGAGATGATCATTTTGGCTTGTCAGTTTTTGCCACTCCTTGATCTTCCTGCTCCAGGTAATTTCATTTGCTTGCAGGAGGCACAGGGCAACTGATTCACACTTATAAAATCTCAGACATTTTGGCTAAGAGTCACAGTTTATAATGTGGAAAATTAAATATGTTTTCTTTAGGCTTGTAGAGACAGGACAACTCCTTCCTTCCTGAAGGTCTGATGGATTCTGACCCTACGATTCATATCCATAAGCTGCTCAGCTACCTGGGAGCCAGTCAGATAGTTGTTGACAGGCAGAAGACCCTGGTCATTGAAACAGGTCAACATTCGTAGACCAATCAGCTACTTGTTTTCAGCCAAATCTCTACCTGTACACGCACCTTGGGTTGAACTTGTCTGCAATTAGACATCCCCTACTGTTTTCCTACAGCAGTATACACAGCACTTACAATGATGGTCAGATAACTTGCTTTTAAAATTGCGATTGTCTTTCCTCAATCCTCAGTGCTTAAAACAATTCCTATCTCATTTCATGCACAATCAAAAATACAGAAAAATAGAAGAACAAAAACAGAAGTTGCTGGAAAAGCTCAGCAGGTCTGGTAGCATCTGTGAAGAAAAATCAGAGTTAATGTTTTGGGTCCGGAGACCCTTCTGCAGAACTGGAGTTCTGATTTACAGCATCCACAGTTCTTCCAGGTTATAGACAAATAAAAGATATTTTTACAAAGAAATAGCTTGGGAAATTAGTCATGTAGAACAAATCCTATAATTATTTTATGCGAACAGGCTCACAAAAATCTACAGCTCAGTTCTTCATTGACTTCACACAGTTATTTTGGTCAGTGTATTGAGAATGTTGTAGGTTCCAATCAGTTTATGCATTTGTTATGCTCAAGCATGCCTTTTCATACTCCTAAATAACATCTTCCCTCCAACCAAACTGTCCTGGTAGGACCAGATCAAAAGGGGTAACTTACCTTGTCAAAAGGAGAGAAATTTAAAACATTTTTCCAGCCTTTAGTCTTTATAACCCTGTCACTCCCTCTCTACATGTGATGATACAGGATTTTGGCTCTTATTTTGTAGTCATCTGGGTGTGGGGATTTCTTTCTATTTATTTATTTATTTATTTATATCTAATGCATTGTTACTCAGACATATTCATGTCAAGTAGACAGCGGACTGCTACCAAATATAGATTTTACTTGAAACTAGGACATTGGATGAAACTAAAAAAAAAAGAGGTTGCCAATAGCATGTAGTTCACATTTGTTCCTTTGGAATGGAGATACAGGGTCTATGAAGACTCAACTAGAGTCAATAATCCATGGAAAAGTGTAAACAGCTTTCTGCCTACCTTATCAATTGTGGATATTCACAGTATGCAACCATGGAAGTAAAACCATTCAGAAGCCAATTGCTAGCACAAAAAAACCCTTCATGTTCATTATGCGACTGTGTACAGATGTGTGTGAATCAGAGCTACCATTTAGAATATCAATAGATTTTTAAACATCCATTGGCAGTTAGAGAGAATCAAATTAATTTGGTTTGTGCACTTGGACTTGGACCTGAAGAACACCAGCAGTGGTAAGAGGAAGCTGTTGCAT